TTGATTTGCAAATGAGTGTATTTCTCGAAAACAGTGCAATTTGAGTTCAAGTAGATCATCAGGAAACTCGGAGACTGTGCCTACCTGATAAGCCTCAAGAAGGGCGAAACCGGTCGTGGGCTGTCTAAGAGTTTTCAGCAACCTTGTGAGTAGTTTCCTTTATGAAAAAAAAGAGACTAGCCCTGTTTATGATGCATCTCCTAGGTGTTTTAGCAATAAGATCTCTTACCCCGTGGGGTAGGGGGTAGCTGTGAATAACCCATCTGTGATGAAAATGCAGCCGCAAACAAATAGCAGTGGCACTACCAGAGCGCGATGGGTCGTGACTTGGGTAACGCATCCCAGTGTCCTGTCAAAGGTCGGTGTGTGTGGCCTCCAGAACAAAGTCACTGACAACCTGGGCGCCATGTCAGGGAAAACAGTAGGAACAGATCCCTGGTCTCATCTAAAAATCGTTCGTCCTTGCTTCCGTGACATGGCTTCTTAATAGGTTGTCACCATCTCTTCATGAACACCCGGGGCGCCTGGCCTGTGAAGTTATCTGACTCGTATCGTCCAGCTGTAACATTTTTTCGGTGCATTTCTGCCATGCCACCCGAAGGAAGCATGAGGGCTGGGATACTGTGAGGTTTTACCACGCCTAGACAGGAGTATTTGAGTTGCAGAGTTTGGTTTTGAGCTACGAACCTTCCGTTCAGTAAATTTGCGCCTTAATTACTGAGCTCTCTCGAGATCGTAACATGAATCGTAACCATGAATCAAACAGCTTTGGCGCTCACCGACACACTTCGGCTGATCCAATTGGTCTGCAATCTAGCATATACGCTGTTGTGTCTCTAAAATCAAGGAACGCAAGTATGTAGTATACTTTCCTATTATGGCCTTAAAAATTCAGGCGAATTAGGCCATGTTGTGTTGGAGGTTGTAATATGGAGAGATAAAGAGCCGAAAACTACGAAATCGGCACACAGCCATACGATCGCTAGGGAGGACGGATAGAGGGAGTACCGTACAACACCCAGCGCGCCCGCCCTACGAGGCCAACCCAACCGTTTTCCGTGGTCGCCGTATGGTTATTTGTGGGTAAGGCATTGATGTGCATGCTACTGTCACTGATCTGTAGGTGACTGTTTGCTTTCAACGAGACATTGCAGTAATAAACACTAACAAGTGTATATTTTTAAAGCCGTAGTCATTTCACGAAAATGAGGTAGCACTGCCTCAAGTTTAAATCAACCCAGTCATGTTTTATCCCCAGTCGTTTGGATTCGGAGTTCGGGCGCCAGGACGAGCGCTCTGGATTAACTGCCCCTAATAACTCTGAAGCAGAGGTAAATGCAACGGTAGTGATGGATTGCTGAAATGTGAGGTATATATTTCAAAAAGATTGAGGGGTCTCATTGCTCTAATTTTCAGACACCCATAGTGAGTCACCATTGTGATAAAAATGTTGAAAAAATCGTTCAGCTGTAGCACCTTTTCGGTGCCTAACTGCCATGCCACCAGAAGGAAGCACGAGGGCTGGGATACTGCCAGGCTGCCCGAGCCTAGACAGGGGAAGTCGAGAGGTCGGGTTTGAACCACGGACCTTCCAGTCAGTAAATTCGCGCTCTCACCACTTGGGACATCTCGCCCCATAAAAATATAGTGTGTCTGTTAATCGCGTTATCGCTCTTGACTGCTTTGGAATATGTGGTTTTATATCAAGGTTGTTTTGAAACCCTCGGAGCCATCGAGTGACGTCATCATTTAGTTGTCTGAACAGCATTCAGAAGTGGAGTCGAACTTATGGACTACCGCTGCTGGACTGTGCACCTGGTTCATTCGGTAGAACCAACAGTGAGCAGGCAGTTGACAATATGCCTTCATCAGATTGATCCACTCTGATGTGTTTATTTTGTCAACGCACACCTGGATACATTTTGCTTCCGAAAAAGTTTAACATGAGTGGTTTCATCTTATTCACGCTTCAAAAAACGGGTCTGGAATACGCTGGGAATTTTAAATATCCAACCCTTGATAAGCTCAAAAGTCACAATGGGCAACTACTCAGCGTGGGTAGTGGCAGTTGGGCTATTGCGCTTCACACCCACTGTGCCTCTTGAACTTTTGTCGGGACGCCACCTTGATAAGCGAGTGAACAGGAATTCCTGAGGAAAGTTAAACGGTACATGGTCCCTTGACAGCATATCAGTGAGATGCAACGACACTTTGGTCGTATTGGTTGATCAGGTGGCCGTTGATCTGTTCACCGGTGGGGGTGCGAGGTAGCTCAGCAGTTGGAGCGCGAATTTACTGACGGGAAGGTCCGTGTTTGGAACCCGACCTCTGCCCCTCGATTTCACTGTCTAGGCTTGGGCAACCTGGCAGTATCCCAGCCTTCGTGCTTCCTTCTGGTTACATGAAAGCTAGTCACCAAAAGGGTGCTACAGCAGAACCCGCCGGTGGGTTCGCAGGCAGGTGAGGTGGGAATTATTTTGCTCTTTTCCATGCAATCCACCTCGGGTTATGTTAAGGTGTTTAGAAAACGTAAGAAGCCCGGTCATCTGGCGAGCTAAGGACCAGTGCCTTACAGGTCCACTCGCGAATGCGTAAAAGCTCACTGAATATGCTTCTTTTTTTGAGTGGTTAACAGATAGCACGAGAGTATGGCAGTGGTCACAATGAGGCCTTGTTCTGTTTCGCAGCCATACTATATGATGACCTTCGCCTGTTCATGTTTTTTCATATTTCTTCCTCCTTTTAGTATTAACTCCGAAAAAGAGTTCACGTCCATATCTTGCAGCACTTCTTGCGGAGTCGACCGCTGATGCCTCGCCTACGGATCAGAGAGATAGTGGACAGTGTACAACAGTGGCAAAATCCAGAGCACCCTCTTCATTGTGTCTTAATACCATGGCGAAATCCAACACATCCTCCTCCAGCCTAGCCGGAAATCCATACCTTTTGAAGCCTAAGTTTCCCGAATGTTGATTTTCAACAATCGTTCTTGTCCCTGTTTCTTGTACATAGCTGTAAATAGACACTTCAGCTTCTGTTGGTCCCTCTTATGATTTCCGGTGTTCCTATCCACGCATTTCATGTTGATTTTGAATAATGGCTTGCGTTTTCTAACACTCCTGAGCACCTTGATGTGAGCTGAATTGACCGTAATCGATTGCAACCTTCGTAAAAATCTGTAGGTATAGTTTGATGCTGGGAATTCCGGTGTCCACAAAGGGTCCTTGTTCTGATAGATATGAGTTGAACTAGTTAAGCGTGATGCTCTAAGCCGAGTATAGTCGGTAGCCGTAGGGTACGAGTTCATATAGTTCCTAGACGACTAGTGTTATTTCCCATTTTTAAGGGAACCGTTAAGTTTCTGCTCTCCAGTCTTGGTCAGCGCGCCGCACCGTATAATTTGTCCTGCTGTTGACTGTTATTGTATTTGAATTAATAATGGGATACCAAAGTCAACCTTCTCCATTGACATCATAACACCAGTGCTCAACACTGATACTTCACTGTCGTAAACGTAAGGCTAGCCCAATACAAACATCCGAGTTGCCTAGACAACTCTCAGATAATTTGGTTAGAAACTGGCGTCGGTAAGCTGCTTTATCTCCTTGACGTGGTACTCAGATATTGCAGATTTTTTTCCGTGCGGCTGGAGCTGAACAGGATGGTTGCCAATGTTTCGGTTCCAATTCATTCATCAACTAATCAAGACTGCGCAACGCTTGTCACGGTCTGCAGCACTGTCCACTTCAGCTGAGCTGATAGCCCCTTCTGGTTGTGCACGTTGTTAGGGGCACTACTTGGCTCGTGGGAGCCTGTGAGCCAAGCACGATGGTACGATTGTTGCCAGAGTAATCGGTGCTATCATGTCACCACAAGCTCTTGTTCTGACCAACCAGTAGCGGCATATCTTGCCCACAATTGGTATTAGTGCTTTAACCCTGATGACGTCGACGCAAGCCATTCACTCTTACAGCCTAGCCTGCTAGCAACAATACGTCATACTCATACTTTTAAGATGTCGTTCACTGCATCGCGCGGGGTCGATGGGCTTCACAATGTTCTTGAAAACAGCTGTGACTGCACAGCTGTCGGCTTGCTCACTTGTTTATCAGTCAAATGACCTCAAGAAATTGTCAGCCCAATGTGCGTCCATAGAACGCCCCGCACTGACTTTTTCAACCTTTCCCAAAATGGATGCGAAAAAGTCACTAGTTTTTTTTAGTATACCTAAGCGGGTCGATTAGTAAAATGGGTTCAAATACTGTGCACTAGACACTATAAGCCTTCATGATTGTTTGTTTCATAATCATACTGGATAAAGTGTGAACGATACAGCTTGATTTGACGAGTCTGATATAGTTGTAACATAAATACCTGATCGCTTAAGAACACGAAAATATTACAATGGTTTTAGTTGCTCCGCTGAAACGTAACTGGCCTTTGTTCGTGTTTGTGATTCCCAGATAATCCTTCGTATGTTTTCGATTTTCTGTGCCGCGGGTAAAAATCTTTGCCGGAAGAAATTTTCAAGTTTCATTTTCCACACAGTAAATTCATCCAATTCTTCTGCTTCCGGCACTGTCGGAGTTACATTCGTGTCTTCCGGGGGCGGTTCGACTATTTCATCTACTGTCTCCTCAACTGTAACCGGTGGAGTTAGTTGCTCCGCCTCCTAGTTCGTGGAGAGGGAAGAAAAACAGTTAATCGGGCTACCTTGCCTGAGTACGCGATGTTAATAAAGTCCAATAGTCAAAATAATGATGTTTTCCTTAGTACATATTTATGCTTAAGAATAGGTATAGAGCATGGAGTTACTCTGCGGAATTTGCTTTGGCTAACGGGTTCCAGATTGCAGACCACTGAGCTCAAACATGTGCTCAACGCTTATTCAAGGTTGTTTGTTCGTCACCAACGCTTGTGTCCCAGCCAACGTGAGTCCCAATTTCATTAAGGATGGATTTCGCTTCAAACTGAACAGGCTTGTCCGTGAAACGCAAAATACGGTTGTCGCAATACCAGCCAGAGATGTGAATGCTCCACTTGATCAACTACAACGTGATGAGGACAACTTGAGAGATTAACTTTCTATTGGTCTTCAGCGCCTTGGCAATATAAACCGTCCGATACAACAACCGGTGGACAATTCCCGTGGAACAAACTTCTCGCACAGCTTTGCCGAATTGTCACCTGGTGTGCTTCGTCCTCGAACCAGGGATGAACCAAAGTACATCACATTGCAATGGGTTCCGAATGACGAGAAGGTTTGCTTGGCCACAAATCCCATTGAATCACCTACTTTGATCTGATTTGCGCCATAGTTATTCTTCGTTTCAACAGACGTGGGTGGATGTGGCTTATTTAGCACAGCCACAAGTACTGAACGTTTATCAAGCCGAACTAGCTTTGGTTTGCACAGCCAACTTCCCTGACTGCACCACACCGCTGACCACACATCGCAGATGCTTTACAGACTGAAAGTGTTCATCCGTGTGACTCAACTATTCTACAATGCTTTATATCGGTTCGATTTCTCAATGGTCTGTTCTTGCCAGCCACGAACCTAACCTACCTGGTAAGCTGTTCTAACTAAAACTGAGAGCCGGCTTGCAGCAAACCACGAAAGGTGGTGGGCGATGTCGGAGCTTCATCTGCTGCTGAGAATTCAATGTAGGTATTTCAACCCATCAGATCAGTTGGGAGAAATTGGTTGAACACAACTGAAACGACGAAAGAAGAATGCCAGGACTTACAACCAGTCCATTCAAACGCTTTGGACGTTGGTTCAAATACTCCTAAGGACATTTCATCTGGCTCCACCTGTCCTCAGGCGCATCCCAAAGAACCACATGTATGCAATGAACCACCAGTCACCTCACCAACCGTGTCTAATACCTCCAGACAAATTACCAGTCGCCAATGCCCCCAGGCCTGTGTGAACTTTCTCCAGCAACGTTCAGAGATGTGGGATTGCAACAGTGATGAGGACAACTTGAGAGATTAACTTTCTATTGGTCTTCAGCGCCTTGGCAATATAAACCGTCCGATACAACAACCGGTGGACAATTCCCGTGGAACAAACTTCTCGCACAGCTTTGCCGAATTGTCACCTGGTGTGCTTCGTCCTCGAACCAGGGATGAACCAAAGTACATCACATTGCAATGGGTTCCGAATGACGAGAAGGTTTGCTTGGCCACAAATCCCATTGAATCACCTACTTTGATCTGATTTGCGCCATAGTTATTCTTCGTTTCAACAGACGTGGGTGGATGTGGCTTATTTAGCACAGCCACAAGTACTGAACGTTTATCAAGCCGAACTAGCTTTGGTTTGCACAGCCAACTTCCCTGACTGCACCACACCGCTGACCACACATCGCAGATGCTTTACAGACTGAAAGTGTTCATCCGTGTGACTCAACTATTCTACAATGCTTTATATCGGTTCGATTTCTCAATGGTCTGTTCTTGCCAGCCACGAACCTAACCTACCTGGTAAGCTGTTCTAACTAAAACTGAGAGCCGGCTTGCAGCAAACCACGAAAGGTGGTGGGCGATGTCGGAGCATCATCTGCTGCTGAGAATTCAAAATAGGTATTTCAGCCCATCAGATCAGTTGGGAGAAATTGGATGAACAAAACTGAAACGATGAAAGAAGAATGTCAGGACTTACAACCAGTCCATTCAAACGCTCTGGACGTTGGTTCAAATACTCCTAAGGACATTTCATCCGGCTCCACCTGTCCTCAGGGGCATCCCAAGAACCACATGTAAGCAATGAACCACCAGTCACCTCACCAACCGTGTCTAATACCTCCAGACAAATTACCAGTCGCCAATACCCCCAGGCCTGTGTGAACTTTCTCCAGCAACGTTCAGAGATGTGGGATTGCAACAGTACGTCAGCTTACTGTGTAGCTGAGACGGTTGGACCGCCGGAGAAGTACCCGCTAATTGGGATTCCCCCACCATTTTCCTCATCTATGAGGAGAGCCAACGCACCGCTGGCAGAAGCCACAATTCGATCAGCCTCATCAGTGTCATTTCCAAAATATGCTTCACCACCTGAGTTTATTGCTTAAGTAATCAGTCCTTGAAGATCAGATGGCGTTTTGGCCGGCCGACTTTGCATTATTCACGAGGCCACCTCAAGTGCTGGAGATGCACACACAGAGACTGATTCTTCTGGTCTCTTTTAGCACCGTCGAAAGAGTTGCCTTGCGGAATTTTCTAAAGCAAAACAGAGTTCAGTTAAAATTTGTTCACATCCTGAAGGCACTCCATGCACATACGTTTGCGCAATTCTGAACGTACGGCGAAATATCCCCTAATTTTATTATTTCAAGTTGTGTCTTAATTCTGTTTAATTTTTTCTAGACAACATCCTCAAGAATCTGTCCAATACTTTTGAACATGACAGCATTGATCTATTACCAGGAGTGTCAGGAAGGTCAGATTCGTGAAGGTTATCGCAGAATATCCGAAACCTGGTGAGACCCTCAAAATATAGCCCGAGGACGTCGTACTTTCGCACTCACTTGTTTGCAATGATACTGGAGGGGGGATAGCAGCCAGATATAACAATGGGAGTCCCTTCAAAACCCAGTAGTAGATTGTGGTTTTGGGAATAAGACACAAGAATCCATTGATCACCTGACGACTTGCACTCGCCATTTCAGATTTGGTTTCCTATCACGAAATTGTAAAGTGACGGTACCAAACTGGTTAGGTTTTGATAGGGCTACTCCAAATCCCTAAGTATGCACGTCTAGGAAGCTGCCGCAACAACAAAATTGTCTAACTCAACGAACAGAGATGCAGCCAACTGGACTGGAAATGCTTATTTGAATGAAGGTGTATTTTTCAACATCCCGTTGCTGAACTCTTATGTATACGCAAGTACATCTTAGCCAGTCGAAGTTTGCATACTATAAGTATTCAAGCAGACGGTACGAAAATCAGAGGCATGTGATTAAAGATCGAGTGGAACATAGGATTCCTTGGCGTCGGGTCGGGAATCAGAATTACGAGGGTTATTCGACTGGCCTTGTTCTGTTCCCTAATCAAGGTCGAAATCATCAGAGCAGACGTTTTTGT